GCCTTTAACCCTTCGCCAAATATTCGTCATACCCCTATTAAAGTTAAGCCCCTCACAAAAATCAATGAAAGATTTCTTTTTAATTTCGCTTAAGTCCCTTTTTACTTTATTAGAAATTCGTTTAAATTCCCTGATACTATCCTGGGTCTGATTGACAAGATATCTCTTGAGGGCCTCACCCTGCTTTTTATTCAGGACATCACATTCCGTGCTCTACCAGAGAGGCTGCATTTTTCTTTTGCCTTTGTAATCGGCAGGGTAGTATGCACCACGCTCTTGTAGAGCCGACAGAATATTTTAAATCATATATTCCAGAAAGGAGTCTGGTGTCATTTCTTTGCGTAATATATATAAATCTAAAAGAAGTATATCTATTTTTTGTCTAAATAATATCCAATCAACATCACGAGTATTAATTCTGGTAAAATTATTAGTGACATAATTGGGTTTTATAAGATATTTTATCACAATAGGGATATGATTTGACCCAAAGGATGACTCCATATTTTCATAGGTAGTTTTATCACACAGGGATGTAGGTATGAAGAAGAGATCCAGATTATTTTGATATTCTCCACATTTTGGAATAAAGGTAGGATGTTTATCATTAATAGAAATCAAATTACAATTCTCCAGAGCTTCAGAAATCCTATTGCCCTTGGAGTTAGAGTGCAAACTACCCCAATTATAGGAATGAACATTAAAATCGCCACATATAATTCTATTTGTAACATTTCCTGTTGAAGTAAATAAATCTTGCCAAGTTACGATTTTGGGATTTGATATCATAGGTGAATAGTAGTATATTTACACCTAAATACTCCAAATCTTGCAGATCCCCAGGATCAGATAAAATAATCTCTAGTGGCGAAGTTACAATGTTTTTGTTGATGCAAATAGCAACTCCTCCCCCTCTGCCAATTACTATATCTTTCCTATAAATATGAAAGTCATGTACATTGAAATTTTGATTAGGACGAAGCCAAGTTTCCGTTATACAAATGATATGTGGTTGTGTATAGTGAATTAGTTGTTCAAGTTCGAGTTTTTTATTGGAAATGCTATGGGCATTCCAGTTAACAATTTTGATTTCTTTGTGAGCCATTGTGTAAACATTTGTAAAATACCTGTGTTCTTTCCTTTATATTAAATTGCAATTTTATATAAATTTAACTGTCCACAAAAGACGCAATTAAACTGTTATGTTCAGTTGGTTGAAAATTAAACAATTTTCGAATGAATATATCAAAATCCTACCCAAAAATTATTAAGACAAAACAAGATATTTCAAAATAGTGATTATCAAGACGAATCCTCCAATAATCATACATAAACAAAACACAAATGTTATAAAGTTTTGTTTTTTTTCTTTTCTTCCTTCCCTTTTAAAGTTAGAATAAACAACATTTATAGTTCTAAATGAAACAAAAGAGAAAAAATAAAAACGAAAAGCAAGGAAGAAATGTTAAAACAAAATATAAAACACTTTTCCAACTTCCCCCTTCTTCTCCTTTCTCTTATAATGTGATATAATATAATCGGATACGCTTGTAAATCCGATATGAACAATTGCTGCATAGAACTTGCTATCTCTTGATTGAAGGTTTGGATTAAACCTGGACTGAGACAGGATATCCGAATCAAACGTTCGAATTGATTTATTAGATAACGAACTTGAGTTTTGCTTTACCATTTGTGAGTCATGTACATTTCGAACATTAGAATCGTCCTGGGGAATACATCATTCGAAGAGTCCTGAGAGGAATTTGAGTGAATGGATAGATCCATAGGACAAACCTTATTCTTTTGGGTACGTTGCAAAGAAGTATCCATGTCATTCTGGGCATGTGATAGAGACCCAGATGCAACAACTGTTTTATTCTGTGAATTTGTAGTACCTCTCCTGACATTATACTTTTCTTCCGCCTCCATATAACCAACATTAAATTCTACCCTAATCTGACAAATTTCCTTTTCCTTTATATAGATTAGGCAAGAAGAGGAAGACGCGACATGTTCTCCTCTACAATTGCAACAATAACTTTTGTTTATTCTCCTGTCACATTCATCAGTGTAGTGCGATCCTCCACAAAATTTACATCTAAATCCCCTAGATCTATATTGTGATTCTACATGACGATATCTCTGGCACTTATAACACCTTACCGGTTTGGGTACAATAGGTTTCAGTGGGAGTTCAAAAGAAGAAACAATAATATTCTCAGGAAGAGTTGAGCCTGCATAAGACAGCTCAAAAGAATCTAATACCTGATTTCTAAATGATACCCTCCTTTTAATAGTAAGCAAATTATTTAAATCTCTATCACATAATGTTCCTGCAAAATCTAAAGCTGAAATAGTACAGTCCCTGACAACCCCTTTGGACACCTTCAAAGAATTTGGTATATGCACTCTAAATTTTGCCAATTTAATTGCTTCAGAGGTTATAAGGCAGTTTGCATCTTCAAACCTTTCAAAAGTAATTTTAACCCTATTTATTCCATTTCTCTGAATTAGCCTTGGACCATCTGTAACATTTCGTAACATCGGATTTAATTTCCCTACATTTAAATTTTGTGTGATACTATCCATAAACACAATATAAGGCGGTAAATCCATGGGTTCAAATACCGGAGAAATTGGTCAGTTAGGATTTACCCAAACCAACGATTCCTCCGTGATTTCGTTGTTTTCAGTCAATGACTGATCTTCTCGATCAGTTCTTAAAGTCATATTAAAATTAAATTTACTTGCGTGAAGACCTAATTTTGTTATTAGTTTATAATTCTCTGAAAAAAGGGAAAATGTACCTGAAATCGGAGAGTGTGTAATCTGAGACCAGCACCATGACTCTTCTAAAATGTCTGTTCAAGTATTTTTTTCCCGAGCGTGGGGAATTTCCGAAGAATTACAGGAAAATGAGTCAAACGATTTCGTAGGCGTACCCGACTCTGAAATAATCGAGTCCAACTTTTCTTTCATATCCCTGTAAGCATTCAATTTGTTTATTACTTTCAATAAATTACTCTATGGGTTCAATTGAATACAACAATGGTAATTCAAACATATATAACATCCTCCATTAGACCAAGAAACATGAGTTTAATTATCACGCTATTCAATGATTAAATATTACACTTAAGGCATTATTGAAAAATGATCATATCCATACGTAAGCCTTCTTACATTTGTTGAAAAAAAAGATGGTTAATTCATTTTAATTATTTAATTTCTTTAAACAATTAATTCATAATTATTTGTATAATTATTATTTTATTCGTTTATTTCTTTCCCTTATAATTATATTTAATTAGTTAATTAAATCTCTATATAAGAGCTGAGATATATTTGAAAATAAATTCAATATTTCGACGGTCGTTCCTGTGTGATTGTCAACTTTATTTGTTTATTTTTAAACGCAAATATAATATCTGCTATCGACGAACAGAAACAAATGACTCAAATATATCCAAGTATTCTATTAAAAGAATGTTCATAGACGAACTAAATTACCATTCAATTAATATGGAATTATTCTTAGGATGATAGAGAGAGGACTTGCTATTTTTTGTTTTTACTATTTCTATTCATTGTTTATCTTGCTGACCTTCAAAGACAAGTATACGTTCGTTGTGTGCTTAAATTTATAATATTTATCAGCTCCAAAATAACTTTTTCCATTTCCATTTAATTAAAAATCCAAACCAAACCAGATTCTAAATTTATTTAACAATCCTCAGAAATCAAACTATTGTTAAAGGTTTATGATTCCACTTTCACTTTCCTTTATCATTTTTTTCACTTTATTTCACATTTTTCACAGTATTTCCAGAGAACTAGATATTTAAATAGTTGAGTTTTCATCTGGATTTAAAATTTTTAACACAGTTGACCAAAAATAATTCTACTTAATACATTTCCAAGTGTTTGCTTTTGTTTAGGCAGGAGTGACGTATTTAAACGTCCGTATCGGAACCGCGCCAAAATCGAACTCCGGCGAATATGAGGAAAACTAAAAATGGGCACACCTACTAGAGTAAGCCCACTTGTGTGTGTGGCCGTATGGAGGTTATTGTATCATCTAAAATTGTTTTTTGAAAACATTCCCATAGAAAAAAGGGATTTTATTTCTTAATAGCATTCTATTGGTCGAACTTTACCGACAGTGTACGAAAAATATCCGATTATTGCCGAGCATGACCGATTGGGTTTCGTCACGTGATAGTTTTAAGTTCCCGGCGTGGTTTCGTCCTTTCTGTGTGAAAATTATATGTGCTTATAATTTTTGGTGTTAAAAGTGCTATTAAACGTGCTATTAAACGAAAATTATAAATGTAAGTATAAATAAAATATTGGTGCAATATTTACGATTAAAAGAAATTGAATAAAATTTGTATATACATTTGTTAGTATACTATTAATTCAAAATTGCTTGTATGAAAACAGTAAACGACATCCGTTTTATAATCAACAATATATGAAACATTCATTCATCAATAAGTAATTTATATAAATATTTATTATCATAAGCCTCATAAATCACATATAAAGTATAAAAAAATTAAATTCGATTTGAAATTTATCAATGATTTTCTCAATTCTAGAAAATTTTTCTGTTAAACTGTCACATTTTTGAGGTTATCTTCCTATAAAATAAAATTATAAAAAAACTATAAAAATATAAATATATAAAACAAATATATAAATCAGCTTGCAAATATTCTACTTAAGAATGTTAATTTTTCTTAAAATATTATAAACGTTTTTTTATGTTTATTATAGTTTTTGATAGCGGGTGTTTTTCACTGTTAAAATATCGGCCACTGTTCCCTTTACCATTCTTCTTTTTTTTTTATTTCAATGGCCTCTTGTACTCACAAATGACCAGAACTATGATGAATTTCTTAACCAATTTTTTTTAAAAAGTGTTTGCTCATATTATTTAGCTAAAGTTCTATTATTATAAGTTAAATTTCTCATTGACATTTTTTTCAAAGTACGGAACTAAAAAAATGAAGTAAGGAATCTTAATCAAAAATTGGAAAATATAATACATAAAAAAATATGTAAATATTTAATTTGTTAATTTTATATTTCACTTTTATTTAGCAAAATGTTTAACAACGGAGAATATCCTTTTTTGCATGAAGGCGTTGACGATCAGGTAAGCGTCAACAGAAGTTATAACATATGAATTGTCATTCATAGGTTTAATCAATATTAAAATTATGAAGTTGTAAATATAAACAATTAGGCTTATCATGATATTGATGTTACAGTATTTGTTGATACGAGATCTGGACACTGGAGACATTGTAACTCCAATAACTGACGAAATTCAACACAATTTTTTAACGCCAGAGTTATTAATTGACAACTCAGCTTCAAATAACGTACCAGAAATTGTTTTACACAGCGAATCACTTATCAATTTGAACAACAATGTACAAACGAAACAACATTCGCCAACTAATATTCCAGGAGTGATTTCAGAAGAACCTTCAGTACACAATTCATCCTCAAATATTGAAGCAATTAATGTAGAAATTGTACAAAATTTAAATCAGGAAGCAAGCAATTCTTTCCAAGAAGTGAGTTTATTATATATAAATATAAAATATATATTCAATTGTACACATATAAATATAAAATATTGAAAAATGGAAATATTAATTATAAAATTTTTGGATTATTAAAAATGTTAATAATTTACAGAATTTAATGCAATTTTTGGTAAAAAGGAGTGGAGGAAAGACTGTTTTGAGGCATTATGATATAAAAAAACAGTTAAATAAAGAAAGCCGTGGAATATTAGTTCGATTAGTAATAGGTAAAATAAAAGATGATGCATTAAGTAATTTAAAACAAAGCGAAAAGCTCTCTGAATTTCGGTAAGTAATTTATTTTTGAAATGTGTCCTGACGCGGTGAAAGGGACCTTACGGTCAAAAAAATTAATTTTGAGACATCAATACCATTTTATCGATTGAAAGAATTTGAATAGAATGGTATCAATAATAAAAAAATAATTTTTTGGACGGTAAGGTCCCTTTCACCGCGTCAGGACACATATATTTTTAAAAATGTTTATTAAGAAAAAAAAATTTATAAGATTAATTAATACTAATAAAAGAATATGTTATGGCCCTATTACAATAAGTAAACTAAAATTATTATATCGATACTGATTTTGTTTTAAATGCGAATATTAATTATAATATTGCAAACTTTTTCAGAATTTCTCGTGCAACATTTACTGACATTTCTCACAGTATAGAAAAAATCTTTCCGGGAGAAAAAGCCTCGACGTATTACACACCTTATTGGTCAGAGGGAAATGTAGTTGTTCCAACATCAGGTGCTTTATGGGAACATTATAATTACACCAAAGGTGTTTTAAAAGAACAAAATCTTTTGGAGAAGTCAAAATCGAGAAGTCAAAAGGAGGAATCTTGTGTTAATTTAGAACAAGGTCAGTGGAAACCTTTAATTAATATTCATTAATAAATGATTTATCCAAGACTGAGGAATTATTTTTTAAATTATATTGAGCAATTTTCTTTATTGTTTAAAGCATGCATAGCTGCCTTAGATTTTATTAAATGAAATAATTTTTATAGATAAAGAACAAATTAATGCTGCTTTAGAGAGATTAAAAACTTCTTTAAATCTGGAATCGAGGCAAAATGACTGGATATTAACTCATAATGCTAGAAAAATCTTACTTTTAGCAGAAAATTATTCTGTGGCAGAATATTTTAAAACATTTCCTTGTCTTGAGATTGAACAGGGTATTAAACAAGTACGTACTTCAACATCATAAATTATATACAATATGGTGATTATATACTAATGAATGTAATGTCTTTGATAATTTTATTTTTTTACAGTTAGAGCTTGATTTTACGGAAATTTATCCATGCAAAAGTGGTTTGCTCTCCGATAGATGGAACACAATAAAAACTGTTCTTATTAATCAGCTGCAAGAACTTGAGAAGAAGAAAATAAGAGACGTTGATGATAATGCGTACTTAAAACTATTGCCAACATTAAATGGCGGTAAATATAAAAATATTTATAAATTTTTTTTTAATTTAATGCAAAACAATCTTTATTTCGTATAAAAAAATGTTTTATTTAATTGAATGATTTTCATTACTCTAAATGAATATATTGCAGATAAAAAATAATTTTTCAAAATACTTTCAACCATTAAAATACTATTAAAATTATCATTTTTTAGAAGCTCAAGATGCAGTTGATTTGCATTTGCTTTGCTTATTAAGTACCCAGGCCGGGGTTGGAAGAAAGAGAAAAAATTGTTCAGATGAAAACATCGTTCGCAGATGGAGCCCAGCTGAAAGAAGAGAAACATTTATGTGTCACATCGAGGTAAACTTCTTCTAAGTAAACATTCTTTTTTTCCTGTAATTATCAGAAAATCTTAATAAATTATAAATTATATATATTTTTGCAGATTTCGGATGAATTAGAAGAGAAAATTAGAGTCTTAAAATCAAAGTTATGGAATAGAAAAGAAACGTTCCAACCATTATTTATTGTCGTTGGGCCTTTAATTAATATTGAGGAAGCGTATGTTGTTGTTGAAGATCAACAATATAAAACATCTTCGTGCTTGGAAGCCTTAGATTTATGTTTTAAACTATTCTTCTCATTACATTGCCACTATCCGAAAGCATCGCATTCTATGTGGCATTTTTTCCAACTTGTCGGTTATAGTATTGTTACGTTGCCCAATAACCCAATAAAGTCAGTCAAAGAATTACAGGGATTAACGGAAGAAGCTTTGAAGCAGGCTAAATTATTATAATATTGTTCTTCGAATTAAAAACTCACAATATTGGTCTGTTTTGCCTGTAAAACTTTATTTGAAACAAATACAAATCTCATTCGTCATGTTAATATAACCCATTCGGACTTACGAATATTTTCATGCTCTGAACCTGATTGCCAAAGGTCATTTTCCGTAATCGCTTCATTTACTCGGCATCGTTGAAATAAACATGCTTCTAATTACAAAAATTTGTCATTAAATGACAATTTACCTGAACTGCCTCTTTGTTCAGATGCAAATAATATAATCGAGAAAAGTTTTACCGAATTTGACTTTACTGAAAATGATATTTCCGAAACTAGTGATTCTGATTCTGATTCTTTGATCAGTGATAATTTCGATGAAGTAACATCTTTTAACGACGAAATAAATCATTTTCCACAGTTTAACTTAGAAAATACAGAAATAAAGAATAAAGAAACAGTAAGATTTGCAGCAAAGTTATATGAATCGCCTGATATTTCGAGAAAAAGAGTCAATGACATTGTTTTCGATGTTTCCGAATTACTTAATAAAACAATTATTTCAGTCCAGGGAGAAGTATGTAGTCACTTTAAAAAATTAGGTATGACAGATCAAGACATCTCTGAAGTAGAAACGATTTTTAACAAATTTTCAGAACCTTTTCAGCAGTTAAAAACAGAGAAACAAAGATTAGCTCAATTTAAATATTATGATTCCTACATTCCTCCACAAAATTACCAAATAGGCAAAAGAATTGAATATAAGTCAGCACCAACAGGAACTAAACGCAAAGATATTCCAGTAGTAGCCCAATTTATACCAATTCGTCAGGTACTAAAAAAATTCTTTGAATTGCCTGGCATTTTTGATAAAACTATAAAGTATTTAAATATTTTAGACTCTCAAAAGAGTCACTAACATTTATCAAAGTTCTCATTGGAAACAAAAAATTTCTTCCTGCAAGGACAAAATTGTTTTACCACTTGTTATGTTTTTTGACGATTACGAAAACAATAATGCACTTGGCAGCAATAAAGGGATTGCCAAGTGTGGTGCTGTTTATTTAAGTATACCGTGTCTTCCACCAGAATATCAATCCAAACTTCAAAACATTTTTTTGTTTATTCTGTTTAATACATTAGATCGATCACAATTTAGTAATAAAATAATTTTTACAAAAGTTGTTGAAGAATTTAAATTTTTGAGAGAGGAGAGCATTTTGATTAATTTTGAAAATGGTGAAAAAAGAATATACTTTGACTTAGCTTTAATAATAGGTGACAATCTTGGGGTTAATTTAATTTTTGGACTAGTAGAAAGTTTTAAAGCAAAGAAGTTCTGTCGTCTTTGTCTAATTAATTTTGATGATATTAACAAAATATTTAAAGAAAGTGACTACATACTTCGAGATATTTCGAATTATAATTCATCTCTGGAAAATATTAATCCGAAAGAAAGCGGCATAAAGGAAGATTGTGTATTTAATAAAATATCAGGGTTTCATATTACAAGCAATCCAGCAGTTGATGTGCAGCATGATTTAGCTGAAGGTATTTTACGATATGACATCGCGCTTTTACTTAATTATTTTATAAAGGAGAAAAAATTCTTTACATTAGAATATTTAAATACAATACTTCGATCATTTTATTACGGTTCAAAATATAGTATTAATAAACCTCCAGAAATTTTGTAAAGTTATTTAAAGAAAAAATGTATCATTTTGTCAGCAGCGGAGATGTTTAATTTGGCAAAAAATTTGACTATGATTATTGGGCATTCCATAGATGAAAATGATAGTTATTGACAAATATTACTAACAATGAAAGAGATTTTAGGAATTGTATGCAGCACGAAGGTCACTCAGGAAACTTGTCAGATTTTAGAAGTGAAAATAAACGAATACCTTACTTCACTAACGGAAAAATTTCCCAACTGTATGAAACCAAAACATCACTTTTTACTTCACTATCCTTCAATAATGCGTAAGATTGGACCCTTATGGAATATTTGCTGTTTAAGGTTTGAAAGTAAAAATAGAGAAGGAAAACAGATCGCTCATCCAGCAATTTGTCGAGTAAACATTTGCAAAACCATAGCTATTCGGCATCAGTTAATGATGAATTACAGATTTATATGTAAAAATTCTGAGTATCCGCCTTACACTGTCAACCACGTTAAAAAGATTTCAACTCAAAATGTTCCACAAATTGGTAAATTTGTTCATTTATGGCCAAAAAACCTGAGCGAATATTGTTACTCAACAAATTATCTTGAATACCACAACATTGCTATAAAAAAGGATACTGTAATAGTACCATTTTCTGAATTACAGGATCCTCAGTTTCATTTTGTGCATTTTATAATTTTAATTGACAAGGATACTTTCCTTTTAATCACAAAATCAATGGCAGACTGTCATTTTAATCATCACCTTCGTGTTTATAAAATGCATGGCACTGAATTTCACTGGGAAATATTAACCAAAAATGACATTGACACTGCTAGCTCTTCATACTACAACAAATTAGCTGACGGAAATTTTTATATTGCCAAGAATTGGATGTAGTATTGTTGTATTGAAATAATTAGTTTTAAGAAATTCTTGTGTTAATAAATATTCTGTCTAATTAGGCACAACAAAAAATTGTGAACGTCTTATTAATTATTATTTTAATCTTCTAATATTTTTAAAGTTCATTAAATTTGAATTTAAATTAATTTAATTAATGTAATTTAACGCTTAAATTACTTTAAATTTTTAATAAATTTATATTTTAAGTATAATTTTGACTTAAACATATGTGTATTAAATGTATAGTTTGCAAATAATGAGAAATGACTCTTGAACATTTTATTCAATATTTAGATTTCACAAATTAGTTTAATTTAAATAATAATTAAATAAATTAATAATTCAAATATTAAATCAAATGCACAATTTCATATAAAAAAATTATTTTGAAATGTGTGTTTGGTGACTAATTTTACTTCAATTTTACAGGCCTCGGATATTTCAACTGTTTGGACTTTTTTCAACTTATTTTCAAATCATGCGACTTTTTCGAATATTTTTCCTAAACATTGCAACGAAATAACACTTTTTTGGTATAAAATTCAAATTACTTTGTATAGTGTAAATTAGTGTAATTAGATTTTTTTTACAAAAAAGTAATTATAGATTTATAAAAAGTGTAACTCTATAGTGTAAAAAACAATTGTAGTCAAATATTTTAAAATTTATTTTTGATTAATTTCTCTAAAATAATAACATTTTTTTAATTAATAATTTAAAACTTTTTAAATAACTAATTTTGTGATTTATAAAAAATATTTTATTTATTTTAAGTGTTTCTTTGAAATTTCTAAAAATCAAATATTGAAAAACTTTAATAAAGAATTGATTTTTCATTAAAATTTTTCAATATTTGATTTTCAGAAAGTTTAATGAAAAATAAAACTAAATAATAGTTTCAAAAAAAGTATATATAAAAAAATTATTGTAAAAAAGTAATTCTTAGAATTTTGTTCATCATATTTATTTAAAATTGAATTACTTTTAATATTTTCAATTACATATTTCTGAGAATTCAAGTATATATCTTTAAAAAATAATGAAGTAATTTTTTTAAAAATCTAAATTTTTTGAATTATTGTTAAAATTTGGAAAAAAACGACTGTTTTCCAAATGTTAAATTGAAAGTATTTAAAAAATTAAATAGTTTTTTACATTGTTCAAAATATTTTGTTTGAAATTCAATTATTTTTGAAAAATAATGATTATTATTTTCGAAAAGAGCAAATTAAAAATTTGAAAAATGTGCTTTAAGTAAATTATTTTATTTTTAACGAATTGAATTTAGAAATTAGTGAATAGTGAAGGAAATACAAAATGAGATTTACTGACAAAAACCAAATGACTTTTTCGGCTTTTATAAAATCTTTATTCTACTAAAGCGACTTTTTGCGCCTTGAAATCGATTCGAGGCATGATTTTATTTAATTAAAAAAAATATTTTTAATTAATACTTTAAACAGTATTAAATATTCCATAAACGCATTAAGTTAATTTTAATGTACTTTATAAATTCCGAAAATCAATTTTTATTTAAGCATGATTTTAAAATAAAATTCTAAAAAGGAGAAAACATATTTTAAATGATAAGAAATATTTAATTTTAAGAGTTTAATTTCATTTGAATATTACGTTTTTTTATTAATAATTTATATTTTAACTAATAAATTTAAATAAATTTTAAATAATGTATTAGATTTATATAGGTATAATTTGAAAATTTGATATATTTATTGAATATTAAACTGTTTCGGCTTTTTTATTTTAAATATTTGTAGAAATTCTCTCACAAGCGGTAATCATTTTTGTTGTTCAGTATATAAAGAAGTTTCTTTTTCTCTCAATCTCAATAATTCTCAATAATGTATATCAACATAAAAAGAACAATTAAACATTTTTTTATAATTTGCAATCGCATTAGCAGGATTTTATCGAGCCGTAGTAGCTCTAACTATCCTTGCCCCATGAGCCCATATTTCAGTTTTTTCTAAATTTTTAGGAACGACTTGAATTAATTTGAAAATAAATACGATATTCGTATTCAGCAGGAAATTCCACTCAGGAAAACACTCACGTAAATAAATATTCGGAAGCATTAATATAGAAAACAATGTGATAAACACTACGTTGACATTTTAGCAAAATAGACTTTTTACAAAAATAAACTCCTGACTTCGCAATTTGTGACAGATTGTCTTCTAATTTTTACTATCATCTATTGGTGTTAAGACGCAAATATACGATAAATGACGCGAATTTTGAGCAAGCCGTCTAAACATAACAGCAACTAACTATTCTTACCCCTTAACTATCCTTGCCCTATCTTCCCCTATATAATATAATTAATGTGTGTGAATATATTAATAACTGAAAAGGAATTATGAAATTTACAAAAACTATGGCAAAAATCCATTCCAAGTAAAAATAAAATTACTATAGTGTTTTATATATATACATATTATGTATATATATACATAATATGTTTACTGTGATATTTAAAGGTGCACTGTGGAACATCTAATATCGACTATGGTAAAATTCAGTAGTTTTTTTGCTACTACTGTAGAGGGCTTTCTAACTTTTGTCGATATTCCCAAAACACTATAGTAATTTTATTTTCACTTGAAATGGATTTTTGCCATAGTTTTTGTGAATTTCATAGTTCTTTTTTAGTTATTAATATATTTATTTAGCTCGTTTCAACAATACACCAAATTCAGTTTCCTATTTTTTTAATTAAAATTTGCTACTTTTTAGAAACATAAATCTATAATTATTATATTACTCTTTCCAAATTTAGAATACTCACTCAATATAATATTTAAATAGTAATTTTCACAAAGGTAACGATATATCCTCGTTTACTATTCGCTTTTTGTAAAACTCAATATTATAATATCAAATTTTCCTAAACTAAAGTTTCTCCGTGTAAAGTCGTTAAATATAAAATATTATTTATATCAGATTTTAAAATAGCTTTTTTATTTATAAGACTAGTTTTATTTAATGATTTTAATGAAGTTTGTCGCCACAAATGACCACAACAATGACAAACATGTGATTAACCATTATCTATCCCTATAAAAAACAGACGGCTAACTTTATCCTAATCATTTAATAACAGTTCCTGTTTATTTTTTCTAAGGTCACGCTCGTGTTTTAATTTTTCGGGATTTTGTCTTGCACGGTAGCGAGATATTCTATTAATTGTTTGTTCTCTTTGTTTTATTTCAATATTTTTGCGTTCTATTCTTTTCTAACTCTAAATTTCTTATTTATTTTTAATTTATTTTCAATATTTTTTAAAGATTACGGAGCTGGCCGTTATCCGTTTCAGGTGAATCGATTGACATGATACTTTACAGAAGATGTTCATCTTTAAAAAAATGGTACTTGAAAAGCAGTTTCTTATACCATCAGTAGGCACAATAGATTTTAGAATTGGAAAATGTAATAAAACATTATTCGTAAGAATATTAAATAAGTGTGAACGCATTGATTTTATACGAAATTGTAGCTCACAAGGATCTTTCCCAAGAGCTATGAATTTTGCAAACGCGATTGCAAAAACTCCGCAATCTATTAAATTGGTTTGTCTCTGTACAGACGGAAATACTATTTGTGAAGAATAGGGGAAAAGAATAGAAAGACAACGAGTCTGAAATGGATTAAGATTATTATAACGACTGTCATAAATTCGCAATTGATGATTAACATGGTGAATGCAACACCAATGTCCAACTTCATTTTCAGTATGTGTTACGTTATTACTACCTTCACGAAATATCAGTTGCAAATGCCCCTGCGTCGGTAAAATAGATTTAACTTCTTTTTAAAGATCTAGGATGAATAATTGAAAAATAAATTTATTGGTGTATAATTTGAATTTTGTTCCACTATGTAATGAAACTTGTTTATACACACGTCATCAATATAAAAGTTACTACCTAAAACGCAGAAAAAACGTAATGCTTTATTTTCCTCTATTTCATGATCTACTTTATCACAAATAGTTTCAATCAGAGATTCAGTTTTATCAAGTAATGACCTATTTTCATAAACAAGAAAAACTACAATATTTTTTTGTCTACATTTGTTATTTACATACATACATACATACATACATTTGTTATTTCTAAATCATTCCTTTCTTCATGAGTGCGTTTTCTTTGTAGTTTACTTGTAGAATAAATATTTTTTGGATGACCACGACAATTTCTTTTAACCGGTTTAGATATGTCAGTTAATGAACTACTTTGCACAATAGATGCAATTAGCGGCGGAGATTGTATGTCGATCGAACTTGACAACTGTTGTTCAATATTAATGTTCGGTTTTTTAATACTTTCTTTCTCGAGCAACTGTTTCTTAGTTCTAAATCGTTGCTTTTTTTCTCGGTCATGAGTGCGTTTTCTTTCTAGTTTACATGTAGGAAAAATATTTTTCGAACGACTGCGAAAATTTTTTTTAGCCGTTTCAGATATGTCAATTAAGGAACCACTTTAAACAAGAGATGCAACTAACGGCGGAGATTGTATGCCGTTCGAATTGGATAATTGTTTTTTAATATTGATATTCGGTTTTTTAATACTGTCATTTTCGAGCAAACGTTTCTTACTTCTAAATCGTTCTTTTTTGTCTTTTTCGTGGTAGCGTTTTCTTACTGTTTTACATGTAGGAAAAATATTTTTCTGACGACCACGAAAACAACTTTTAGTCCTTTCATATATGTCGATTGATTTACTTTGCACATGATTTGTAATTAGAGGCGAAGGAACTTGCCTTGTCGTTGGAACTTGCCAAACAATTTTTGAGGCGCACATTCTGCTTTTTAGTCAGTAAAATTTTTGTACGATTAATTTAGGGAAAATTTTATCCAAAATGTATTTTCTATAACAAGTGCGTCAAAAACTCGAATAAAGTGCCGTTTTTCTCGCACTAGTGCGAGAAAAGAGGGGGAATTATGTTTTTAATCATAGTTCACTGTTCCGTAGCGATTCTTTGAAAAGGTCTGCCAACTTAACATGAACAATTATTACTATGTATGTAGCCAGACATGGTAATTTCACGCAT